CCATTTAAAATTATGTAATATTTCAGGGGGATGCATTTTGGACAAAAAAGCTGATGTATTATGTAGGCTTGAACATGGAAGTAAAACATCATACCTGATTATGAAATCCAGCTGATCACAAAAGCTGGCTGGAGAAATCGTCAAACTTGTGCCAGTCATTCTAGCAGAAGTTTAAGGGAATGGACCATTCTTTATGCAAACAGGTACAAATTACAGATGCAGTATATAAAAACTTAAATTGTTTATCTCAATTTTTCACACTGCATTGCCTTTCTATTTTCAAATACAACGACACATTGTGCTTTTCTTGATGCCAGAACCCTTTAACTTAGAAACTACCCTATTGCATATTATCCCATGAAAGGCAGGCCGCAAATATTACTTATTCCTTCAAAATGTGACAAAAATCAGAACTTATATCCTTCTTTACAAAAATTAAACTAACTTAATGAGAATTAACTGAATTTAGATTAAACCACGGCTACATTATGATTATGTGACATCATGCTTATCCATTTTTGTTCCTAAATCACAATATTTGGCAACAATCTATGTGTTAATATAATGAGCTCTATAATGGTATTATAAATCTCTCATTTATTTAATTTTTTTTGTGAAATTTTCTTTTAATATATTTTGGTTCCTTAAATGCTGGATCAGACTTTTACTGCATGTACCACTCACAAAATGCTAAGTAGTGTAACACATCATTCAAACTCCATTTCAAACTAAAATACATAATATTAATTCTGATAATGAGATTATATAAAAATATCTGGTTCACAATAGCCATTAATAAGAATAATACCTATTAATAATTATGAACATTTTCAAAAAAATCATAACTTACATTGAGTATCAGGATCGAAGCAGTACTCTCTATCTAAATACATATGGCGATAACATTGATGGCCATGTGAAGGGGCACCAAGAAATGTATCTTTGCATTTAGAACACTAGAGTAGAGAAGAGATAAATGTGTAAAAAATTAAAGCATTCAAGACATATCAGTGAACACTTTTCTGTTGATGAGATTAATTAAAAAATATAGCTTCCAGTACAGAAATATGCTACGGAAAAGTACATAGGCAATCGACTGCTACACATAAATGAATAAAAATCTAGTAAAAATTATGAATCATGGTATTTAGAAATTTTATTATTAAACTATAAACAAAGAACTTAATTTCTTCAAAATTTAAAATAGAGTGAAAATTCTCAAGATTAGTAATTTCTGTCTTAATTCCCATAACACATCTAAAAATTTTACGACTGAAAATGCATGGAAATCTTCTGATAACATAAGTTTTGTTCTTGAACTGGTAAAAGTGCAGAACAGGCTGCATCAACAAAGTTCAGAAGGCGGAGCTGTGTGGCATCCATAAATGGGCGGGACTATGCTTGTGATGTCACAATGTATTCTCGCATTTACACTACGCATACTTTATATTTTCTCTTAAAAATAACAATAATAAATTGTTTATTATTGTAATTAATATCAAATTCTTTATTTTAATTTCATTTATAACAAAAAGCTTGGCCAGTATTGATAATAGTATAATAATTGTTTATATTAAAATTCCATAAGACAGTGAGCGAATTCTACCAATTATTAAAACGATAACCACAAACAATGTAGAGTCTTAATACTTGTTAAGCTTCAAATTTTCAAAGGTTTTATTAAAGCATTCATACAAACAAAAAAAATTAATTAAATCATATTGTGGAACATTACACATTTTATATTTTACAATTACTTCTTGCTACGTAACGACATAATCTTACATACCATAATTAGACAATTTTCATAGTTCTAAAAATTTAAACTTTCATTAATAAAAAAGAAGGAATATTTTATTGATATGAGCATCATTACAAGATTTATATCAGTTTAAAATTCCTAAATCACGCCATATTCTGTGTAGGAATCGAATTTACGCTAATAAAAAAAATCTAATTCTCAGAATGAAAGAAATAATATAATAAAATAAATACTAAAAACTTGGAACTAAGCAATGCTTCAACATACGCACACATATATCATGAATCATATTATCAGGGCGATACGATACCAAACACTACTATTAAAATATGAGGTAAACGTTTTCAAGGTTAAAGTAACATTTTGATACTGTTGAGTAGATCGTCAGCTTATATCTTATCGTAAGTCAGAAAGCGATAAACATATCAAAGCCAAAAAATTAAAAATACAATTTAAATGAAAAAGAGTGTAAAATTAATTAAATAAACAATATACAAATTTAAAATACACAAACAATATATTAAACATTGCACATAAATAAAGTTACATTACTGCTCAGAATCACACACAATCTTGTTTTCCCTTGTACACAACGATCAGTATTTGCTCGAAAAATATCAAAGAATTCCACAAACTCGGGGTCCATGTGCACATCCATCTATTTTCACTTAAAAAAAAAAAATCAGAGAACTGCTCAAATCGGCATTGCGCACCACATTGACTTTGCCCATGTCCTCATCGATCTATTTTCACTTAAAAAAAATCAGAGAATTGCACAAACCATCACGCACCACACTGGCTTTGCCCATGTGCACATCGATCTATTTTCACTTAAAAGAACATCACAGAATTGCACAAACTTGGCCTTGCACTAACCTCGGCATTGTGTAACACATGGCTTTGCCCCCATGCCCTCACACATCCGATTATTTTCACTTAAAAAAAATTCTAGAATTGCCCAACTCGGCACACGCACTTGGCTTGCCTTTACACATCACTATTCACTTAAAAAAAACATTCACAAAATGGACACAACTCGGCATTGCGCACCACATTCTCTTTGCCCATATACACATTGACCTATTTTCACTTAAAAAAAATCAGAGAATTGCACAAACTCGGCATCGTGTACAACCTCGGCATTGCGCACTACATTGCCTTTTGCCATGTACACGTCGATTTATTTTCACTTAAAAAAAATCAGACATTGAATAAACTCTTCACTCAGAAATCTGCTATTCATATACTCAGAAATGTATTTAAAAAATCAGAGAAATGCAGAAACTCGCGCGTACCCAACTCCATTGATTTGAGTTGTAAAAAAATGTGTCCAGAAAAATCATATAAATAAAAATAAAGCTAACAGAATAAAGCAACTACTGAGCATCCAAACTGCCATAGTTTGACAAGCACCCAATATTTTACTTAAGTCAATAATAATAAAAATAAAACTTACCTTCAGTCCACTCCTTTTGCAGAATATATGGCTGTGATCTCACTGAGAAATATATGCATCAATCGGCTGGCGTCGAATTTCTTGGGTTTCCTTCTCCAGATGTATTCTGCAAGATAGGAATCAAACTGTCCTTTTGCCTTATGAGAACCATGGAAACTTCTTTTGATTGCTGCCCAAGTTCTCTCAATACTATTAGCATATGTACCTGTCTCTGGATCTTTAAAACGCAAGCTATGATTGACTTTCAGGTGGCTTCGAACTCGAGACAGTCATATGCTTTCCAGGAATCCGATATAATAGTCGATCCTGGTAGAACATTCTCTTTAAAATGATTTCCAACAATTTTTTGGCACCTCTGTTTTAAACAACCACAAATACGCATTTATCCGTCCCTCTTTCAACCAAACCAAAACCCATCTTCCTTAGACTCTTTTCCTTCTATAATACTTTTGCTTCCCAAACTTACTTTCGTTAATTTCCACAATCACGCCTTTCCCACCCAACATCATATTCTCCTTCAAGCATAACTGCATGCATACTTCCCTACAAAAACTTTTCCAACCCGGCACCGTATTTTTAGCAATACGTAATTCCGTTAATATAAATTCATTCCCGCACTTACCCAACCACATATAGGTAACTTGCAAAACATCACACATGCTCAATTTACTCTTCGCAAACCAGGAGTTCTTTGGAATTGATCTTGAAATGCGCAGCCTACATTCGCCTCCAGCAGCTAACTCTGCACATCCAATCAAAACCGTCTCTATAAGGTTTGCGATTTCTAAAAGTTTAGCTATCAGTTTCACAAAATCGGGCACGTTATACGATATTGCAATCAAACTTTTCTCCATACACCACTCAACAATGCTTGTTTTTACCTCTTTGCCTCCAACTGTAAAAAAAAACAATCCAGATCAGATACTCATTCCATTCTGCCAGTAAGCCCCCCAAAATGAATTAGCACAACTCACCAATAATCAAAACATTCTTAGCAAAAGAATTCTTTTCTGTATTTTAGAAGTTACGGTAATATTTTAAATCATGCATCCATATTTTCAATCGTTTGGTAGCTTAATAATACATTGTGAAAGATAACTAGTTGCCGTTACAATGCTCATACTACCACACAAATAGATATAATTAAAAAAATCTTGCGCAGTACATTTTAAAACCTAACATTTCAACTCAGTTAAAATATAATGTAAGTTTTCTTTAAATATGAAGCTATAGCATACTTATAATTTGTTTTTAAGAAGAGGCATAACCAATATTATGCCATAAAAAGGCGTGTCCAAGTATAAGAGAAGTAAACACACCATCGACTGATGCAGCCTATTCTGCGATTTAGCCCCTAAACTATCTGCCAGTGCTAATTAAAAGTCAGTTTTGTATGAAATATAACTGAAAAATACAGTGTGATTCAGAATTCCAGAAATCTAATCTAAAAAGACCACACTTTGCTTGGTTTTAGGTGTACAGTAAAAACTCAAAAAATTACTAAATTATAATAAAAGCGACAAAAATATCTTTTTACAAAAGATGCTGGCTATTACAATCATATTTTTCAATAAATAAATTCACAATGAAGACAATATTTTTACTAATTTGTTCAAAGGCTAAATCAATTATGCATGGCTTTTACGATGCAAAACAGATCCACAGACTTTTCAGATGCTTCTAATAGAGTAAACCTCTGTTCCTGCCTAATATTTATGATGCCTTAACTATCCTTCCATCCCATCTTTCATTCATTATCTTTAGCATTCAACTCTAGGTATAATGCACGTGTAAGCTTAACCGAAGGTTAAACACATTTGCTTCAAGCAATAATTCTCATAAATGGTTTCCATCATTAATGTAAATGCTATTTATAATGAGAGTCTGCAGACTAATCAATTGCACTATATACATTTACCTGTAACTGCCAGCAAGGTGTCATATGCATAATACTCTTCATATTCTTCTGAGAACACTGCCGATCAGTTTCTGTATTATTTTGGCAATTACAATTCTCTCCATTTAAGGGGTTACATGAATCCCCATGTCCATGGCATTCACATCTGAAATACAAAATCCAAAAATAATTTGATTTTCATAAAAAAATTGCATATGATAATGATAAATGTAACAGTAAAATACCCTATTTATTTAAATAAAAAATAGTTTCCTTTAAAACTAAACACTTGATTAAGCATAGAAATAATACTGCCAATAGATGTGGCAACATCACAGAATAGCATAACAGCAGATTGACAGAGTTGCTTCAGTCAGTATATTGCAAGGTGCAGTAGGGTGCAAGTGAAAAAGCAGAACCTGAAAGCAATAGCGAATCCCTATTTATTTTTGTTTTACATTGGAGAAATTAACCACAGAGATTTTTAAAATGTTGAAGGCAGCATCTGATGAGATTATAATGAACCATATAATTACATTTGTGTGGAACTCATGCTACAAAAATGTCACTGCCTGCGGAGCGTGAGCTTTGTCTTCACTAGCCATTCTATCAGTCAGAATAAGGAAAACATTTCTGAAGTAAATACTTTGCTTTGGCAAAATGTCTACAAACAGTTTGATAAATTGCTACAGGAACAAACATTATTAGAACTGGCTCATGTCACAAGATTTTATAGGATGATTTGAAGAAATCAAATTTGTTCGTCAGCAAAATTTGTTCTCATGCTTTTTACAAAGAATAAATGCAAAACCACTTGGCTATAAGAACAGAACATGAGAAAACTATTACTAGGGATTCTGATTCTTGTTGAGTCATTATAAAAAATGAATCACGTATTTAAGCATATGATCTTGAGAAGAAGCAAATACTGTCACTGTGGCAGATATTTGCATTTCAAAGAGAAAAATGGCAAGTCCACTTTAGAGTTGAAGTTATGTTTATGGTGGTTTTTAATAACGATGATCTTTCCATGAATTTCAGTCACTAGCTCATACTGTGACTGAAAAGTTCTACAATGCATACAGCCCACCAGTGCTGAGTAGTTAAAAAAACAGAACACCGGCAGTTTGACTCAGGTTCGGATTTAGTGAGCAGGAAGGCTAAGTTGGTGTTTTTATGGTTTTCTTCAACTGTCACATAAATGGAAGTCAATTTCCCTAAAAATTCCTCCACAAATGCAACTTTTCCCTTAGTCAGATAGCCTTTGCTGTATTCAAATAATGAAACAAAACAAACTAAAGACGCTGTAAGCAGAAAATGGTTGTAAAAATGGACCTACAGAAACTGCCATCTACATTAAGAAGCTCTCTACTCCTTTTTATAAGCCAGTACAATATAATACTTACGGTTACAGCCGAAAACATCGCGGGAAATACACGCAAGATGTGGGAGAAAACATTGCAGTTCTAAAACATCATGGTACAAAATATTGTCGTTGAAAATAAAGCGGTTAAAAAACTTTGCACTTTAAAAACATTGTCGTCAAAATTATCGAGGTAAAAAATAAAGTATCTACAATATCGCCTGGCGATAACATCCCGACATGTTTTTCAGGCTTACTAATGTAATGGATATTACCTCATGATTTGAAGCAAGATGCAGAAGAAGGATAATTTTTACTTTATATTTTTATAACTAATAAATTTTGCTGTAAAGTCAGAAGGAAACTTAAGCATAGAAAACTAATGCAACTTTAGCCATTAATAGAATTTAACTGACTAGTTAAATAAAAGTCATAATAAATCATTTTTTCTAAAGTATTTTTAGGGGAATATATCTAAAAAAGATTAGAAAAAGAAAGGTAAGTAACTGCAAGATTTATCTATAAAAAAAATTGGTAATCTAATACGTCAAAAGTCGTAATCGGACACCATAATCGGACCTCAAAGCTACAAACTTCTGTGCATGCGTCGCACCGAGACTTTACGGCTGCGAATATGCGCGTATGCAAAATAGGTTTACGATGTGCGTTTAATGTCAAAGGACAGTATAAGCTAAGAAAATTATCTAATTATTTCAGTTAATGTTGCACATTGCGTTGCTCCTTAATCTTCAAATTGGATCCGGCTTTTATTTTTTGCAGACTGTTAGAGCAATTTTTATAAGTAAGCTGAACTTTCGATATGTGAAATAGAATTTTAATATATATTTATTAATATGTAAAGGATCTACAAGCGAAAGTATGTTTCGAAGTCATTAAACAAAAAGTGGAATTGCTGAAAAAAATGGATAAAGGCATATCCTTTGTTTATCTAAACTTTGTTTATCTTTAACGTCGGTGCCACAATGAATTGGAAGTGATCTCAGCACTATCCTTATCTTCAGGGCAGATGTTTTTTATTTATTTGGCTTATAATTCCTTACTAAATGTAGTATTTCATTTGATGTCTCCGTCTTGATATGATTTAAATCAAATTCCTCTTCATTATAATTCGCTTCGTAGCGAAGAAAGTGACAGAGGTTATTGAAAACGAAAAAATTTCGATTGACAAATTAGTCAGTAGACACAGCAATTACAGTTACAAAGTGGAACTTTGTAACTGAACAAGAAATTATGTCTGTTTATAGAATTTAAAGAGAATGTATTATCACAAAAAATGAAGCAACTTAAACAACTTACATTGAAAGAAATGTTTAATAAAGTAAACAAATAAATATTAAGCTTTTTTTTTTTTTTTAAATTTATTTATTTATTTTTTTATTTTTTTTTTTGTAATTTTGATACCCTTTAGATCATAATTGTTCTTTATTTCATAAATTACGGTTTCATATTTTTAATTTTATAATTTCCGCATGCCATCTTACCAGATTTAAACTGATGATCTAATCCGGAAAAAATCGATAATCCGTAATTGCGAAGCCGACGAGTCCGGATTAACGACTTTTGACTGTACTAATTGCTTGTCTGATTTCTTTTGATGATTAAAGTGGGAAAAAAAAACCACAGTACTTTTAAAGCATTATACCGATTTCATTTACTCAAGAAGCACTTAAATTTTTTCATTTCTTTTTATTTATATTATTCTCATTATTTACATAAAGTTTTATGCCTTAAATACATTAAATCCTAAAGCAAATTTATTTGTGTGTAAAGACACGCACCAAATTTTTAACATATTTTGACAGATTTTAAAATGTTTTGGGAAAATCTGTATATTTCTTTTTGGTCTGAAGGAAGTATTTAATAATAAAGAAATTAAAAAAAAAATAAATGCATATGCCACAGTTGAAAAACACTGCTATAAATTTATCATTAAAAAATATATTTAATTTTGGAAAATCTTGTTACTCAGATTCTAAATATTTCCATTCCAGCGATAAAGTTTGATTTATGATGTTTTTCATGTATAATCGGGAAGTTTCGCCTCCTTAATCGAACTACAGGATATTAATTTTATTCGAAAATGTTAAAATGTTGTATTATTCATTATTCGTTTTGCTGAAGGTTGGGAGGGGGGGAAGTCAATTAAATGTATATTTTTAATATATGTAATTCATTGATGAAATTATATATTAATTAAATAAATCTGTATGCATGAATAAATATATGCAAAAGAGGCAAAGGACTTTTTCAAAAACAAACAAGATAGGACGATTTAAGCATATTTGGTAAACTCTTAACTAAACTTTTCTGGGTTCTCTTTTTAAACTGCATGGTAGCTGTAAAGCATACAAGTACTAATAAATTAAGAAATGTTATTTCTGTTTGTACATGGAGCATCATCAGTAATGACTGAAATTTTCAGCTGTCTTTTATTAACCAAATAGCCTTAAGCACCCAGAATGGACAGATTCCCAAGAGTTCAAAACACCTGCTCTAATGGTTGACTCTCCCCAATAGTATAATTAGCTGTAATTCGTCCCTCCCCCCTGAGTTAAGCTGCTTAGCTTGTTTTTCAATGCAGTACTCAGAACAAAGAGCTCCAAGCCTTAGTTTCCCGAAAAGTTTCTAATTGCTTTCATCTTGCATAGAGATTGCTACAGTTTCCAGCCAAACGATGATTCTCATTTCTCTTTCGAAACAAATATATACTACTATTAATGAAAGAAAAAATTTCATTTTATAAACAAAATAACTGAATATAAAATGTGAAACTAAATCATTTATTAAAAAATGAACTTTTTAAAAAACTTAAATCAATATCTAAAATTTTAAGTTTCTACAGCTTTTTCTCCCTTAACGTTTCAGTCCCAATTGGTTATATAGAGACCAGTAGATGTTTAAAGAAAGCATAGAGGAATTACACGTATCAATTTACTACATAGTTGATGTCTACTTGTAGTAGGCATCATTTCTAACATCCCCATACAAAATTATCGCACGCCTCTCTATAGAGGCTAGTGACAGACTGTCAATTTCATTTCTGTCATTTGTGATAATTACCAAGAAAAAATAAAAAAAAATCAAGTCAGCTGAAACAAACAAATAAATTGAAACTGAAAGGGTTAAACAATTTAAGATGTTTTTTAAATTTTCAATATTTAGTTATTCAGATTTCAAGCAGCAAAATCATCTTCTCCAAATGCCATTTGTTTCTTTCTTTCATTTAAAGATTTTATATTTTGAAAACTTGCACATCTTTGCTTTTGATATTCTGCACTATATCACAAGTAAAATTATAAATTTTTGCTCATAAAAATTCATAGATTCATGAGTCTATTTGAACTAATTGTATTTAATATGTTGAAGACTTATATTGATAGAGTTTTATAATATATTTTTAGTGAGAAATATGCTCTAACATAAAACATGCATTAAAATAACTGAGCCACAGAATCAATAAGAAACTGTGGTTATTACCAAAATATATAAGGACAATGTACAATATAAGAAAGACTGCAAAAATGAATGAGGACAATATTTAAAATAAAGAAGGACTAACTTCTCCCACTCCTGCATCATCGCCACTATATATAACTTAAACATGTTGCAACAATAAAATGAGCAAAAAACAGGGAGTCTGAGCATACCAGTACCCCCCCCCAAAAAACATGTGATTCGAGTATATACAAGTATTAATATATAGTATGAATCACAATCAACATACTAATTAAGACTTGAATGCATATTAAAGAGAACGTATATCAAAGTATAAGAAATGGCAAACTCCATGAAATATAAAGATGAAAAAGGTATTTTTGTTTGATTTAAAACAAAACCATGAAAACATGCCTTCTTTAAAAATATCTTTTTCCAAAATGTGTCAGTTGCTTAGTTGAAGGTAGAACACTAAATGCTTCATTTTAGTTAAAAAGCTTCATTTTATTTCATTTATGATATTTATTAAAAATACATGCATGAAGCGAACTGGATTTTAAAATTATTGGTGGACATTCAAATCACATGTTTTAAAACATTTAAAAATATTATAGAAAAAAAAGTTACATTTGCTTATTCAAAAAAAATTTGCCCATTAAGTACAAAAAAATTGTCTTGAAACATTCATTCATGAAATAAAAGTCAATGTAAATTTGTGCAGTTTTTTAGTCTTGAAAACAATTAAGGGAATTTGATTAAGTTTTATTTCATAAATTTATCTTAATTAAAAGTTACAAGAAAAATTAGTTGCTTCAAGTTGTGAGGTAAAGAATTTCGAGAACAAAGAATCGCCGCAAAATAGAATCTCACCTAGAAATATTAATTTTAATTTTGCTACAAATTTTTGAAGGGAACAAATCAAGATATTCTGAAAAATTAAGAAACACAGAAGAAAAACATTAAAATTGTCTTAGGAAGTTGGTCACTGTAAGTTCAATAAGTAATTACAAAATTTTCAAGTAAAATGAGTATGAAAAACTAAATAAAATACTTTTCAGTGCTTTTTTTAAACTTTTCAGTGCTTTTTTTTAAACCAATGGCGGGCTTTCAGCCGACTTCGGCTTGGCCACTACTAAGGCCAGAAGTTATAGTCACTTTATTGAGGCACTAAATAAGTGGGCCACCTTTGTCTTCTATGAAGAGACGGACAATTACAACCATGCCTTCTCCGAGATTCGAACCCTGCACCTTTGGTATCGAAAGCCCGCTCCCCCAAACCACTATGCCGTCTGGGTGGCCTAAACCTAAACGTAAATGTAAGCAATCCAGTTTAAAGCAACCACTCAAAATTCCATTTTAATCTTGTGTGGATGTGGTGATTAAAATGAATGATTAAAACTTAAGTTTTATTGTTCTCAAAAACACTGTTTGTCTTAAAGGCCATTCCCACTGGGTTTATCTGAGCTAACGAACACAATTGACGTAGCCGACCCATCTCCAAGACCAGTTATTTCTCATAGGGCAGCAAGTTGAAAAATCTGAACTGTCACCAAGAAGGTTCACTGCAAATATACATTATTTCTAAGAAACAAACAAACAAACAAACAAACAAACAAACAAAAAAAAAAAAAAAGGGGGGGCTGCATGAAGATTTTTGTGATTTTCCTAAAATATAATGTGCATATGAACCAATTCCTGAGAATGTACTCCACAAAGGAATCTTACACCCCTTAAGCAGATAGCAGTAGTGTGCTTTGGTACAATCTAATAAATCCAAACCTTACTGAAATATTATATAGCTGACTTTCATCATAACTAACAAATCAACATTCAAGTAAACTGACTGCACGCTGCGCATAAAAATTTTAATAACACTTTAAGAGTAAACTGAAACAAAACAAGAAATAATTTTTGCTATAAGAGTATTAGATTAACAAAAGTGAAGAAAATAATCTCATAATTCAGTTAGCAATTTTTTTATAGATAAGGTCATGCAATTACTTAACTTCCAATTTCTAATCTTTTTTTAGATTATACTTTTCATGAAAAATTACCAGTAAAAACTTTATAAAAATAATTTATTAATGACCTTTTTTAATTAACTATCTCGGTTTAAAATTCTGTTAAGTGCTACAAGTTGCATTAATTTTCTATGCTTAAGTTTCCTTCTGACTTTATCAGCAAAAATTTATTAGTTAATAAAAAATATGAAAGTAAAAGTTATCCTTTCTTCCATCTTGCGCTCACAAATCATTATGGGAATATCCAATTACAATTATTAAAGCCTGAAAAAAGCATGTCTGCGATGTTATCGTTATGCGATGATTTGTAGATACTTTATTTTTTACCACGATATTTTCGACGACGATGTCTTTGAACTGCTTTATTTTCGATGACGATATTTTGTAACACAACGTTTTTGTCTTACGTTGTTTTCTCAGCATAGGTAAAATATCTCAATAATTTTATTTTTGTCAGATCATGAGCATGGAAGCAAAATTTAATAGGAAATAATTTTTTCCTCAAATTCCAGATCCAGAATATCAAAAATACTGCAAAGATTAAATACAACTTTGGAAAAATTGAAAACAAAAAAGTACCCTTTTACAGTAAAAAATACCCTAAATTTTGTCCTATTTAATGCAATAGAATTTTACTGCTTAGAAAAATGCCAGCATAACATTGTAAATTATTATTATTAAAATATCACATTTTTTTTTGTTACAAAATTAGAAAGGCATATATTCTTTGAGATGCATGTAAAAGTCATACTTTGATGTCTGACATGTGTCTTATGAATTTTTATTTTTCCCAAAACAATGGTATAGCAGATTTGTGAATTTATTATAATGCCAACAATATGACTGACATTATTTTAGATACATTAGACCACAAAAATATATCTGACAATAGCATACTTCTCTTCCACATATACATGATTAGTTTTATTTTGAGAAGTCATGAGGGATGAAATGCATATGAAATCAGTTTAACAGTTAATATTTCAAGAACATTTCAAACAGTTAATAGCTATTTTATATAGCTATTAACACATTAACATAACATTAAAAAGATATATTGTAGAAAATTTTATGCTTCTGCATTTCTCTTTTGTCAAACATTGGATTTTAGAATTCTGTATCCCAAAAAATTAAATGCCAGAACTAATCTACATAACACACGGAAATTTGCTAAATTTACAGATAATAATATGATTTGAGAAATTCTTTCATACAATGGGAAATAAAAACTGACTTTTAAATGCTTAAAGAGAATTTTAAAGCAATACAAAATAAGGGGGTTTTAATGTCCTTCCCTTTTGTTAATATTAAATGCCTATCATATCATATAATAAATTTAAAAAGCATCATCAAAAACATATTTTTTGCAAAGACTAAAAAATTCAATCTTGGGGGTGGCTACAGAGCATTTTCCTTCTTTTACTAACGAAAATTCCTTAAATTAATAGGAAAAATATATAATATCAAAATAAAACTTTTTACAGTACACATTTTTCTGAAGTGCACATGAAGTAAAACACAGCCATTAAACTGAAAGAACAATCTATTTATTCACTTGAGATAAGATGCGATTAGCTGAAAAAAGATAAAAAGATGTTTGAAAATTAAACATAAAATTTATAGTTAAAAGTATCTGAATAAACTCAGAGAATGAAATAATTTTATTACATGTATACATTTAAAAACATTATAAATTCACTTAAAATAACTTACGGACGACACCCATCTTCAAGACGTTCTCCTGCTTTGAAAAAACCAGATATGCATTGATCGCATCTTCTGCCTTCAGTATTGTTTTTGCAGTCAATACAGACAGCATCTTCCAATGGTCCTTCTACGAGTTTCTCAAGTAACTCATTAATCTAAAGAGGGGGAAAGACTTAAAAATCAATTTGAAATATTCTTTGTTTGAAAAAATAACATTTTAAAGTTGACTGTAAAGTTCACTAAATAAACTTATAGTATAGCAGGGACTCTGTGCATATAAGTAATAAAAAAGAGAAAACGATGTAGTATTCTTGATTACATAGCATGTAGAATTCATAGAATGTAGATCCATACTGAAGTGGAAGAATTCTGATTGCATAGAATGCTAAAATGTTGAACTCATAATAACTAACAAACTTGGCAATCAAGGCGGATTAAATTCCAATTTTACTTAATTGACATTTGTGGCCACAATTAACTTGGTGCTCTACGTAGGCTGTCTGAAAAGTTTCCGACCTAATAAAGAAAAAAGATATTTTTTCTACAAAATTACCTTTATTTTCATCATAGTCTCCTTGTAAGTCTATAATTTTTTTTCAGCGATGCTCCCATCCTTTTAACCCATCTAAATAATATGTGGAATCTTTTTCTGTAGTCTCCTCATTTGACAAACATCTTTGCCCTCCAAGGGCTTCTTTTAGTTTAGAGAGGGGGAAAAAAAAAAAAAAAAAAAAAAAAAAAGTCACTTGGTGCTGGTTGTGGCGAATAGGGCAGATTATTAAGCAGTTCAAATCATGATTCATGGAATTTTGCCACTGCAACCGCTAAGGTGTGAGATGGTGTATTGGCTTGGTGAAACAAAATTTTGTCTTTGGCAAATGTGGCCGTTTTTCCACAATTTCTGCCTTCAACTTGTTGAGTAATGTTGCATAGTATGCTTCAGTAATGGTTTTCCCTTTTCAAAAAAATCTATTGAGACAGTTCCATGGCTGTCCCAGAAAACTGCTGCATCACTTTCCCAGCAGAAGGAACAGTTTTTTTTTTTTTTTTTTTTTTTTTTTTTTTTTTTTTTTTGAGCCGGTTCTCCTTTTGCAGACCACTGTTTTGACTGTGTTTTTTGTTTCTAGGCTGTAATGATAAATCCAAGTTTCATCTACAGTGATTAGCAGAAAAAAAAATATTCTGATTTATTGTGTCAACAGAAAGTGCAAATGCTTATTCGGACACGTTTTTGGTCCAAAGTGAGCAAACATGGCACCCAACATGCAGCCAGCTTATGCGTATCCAAATCGTGGTTCGATATGAGGCAAACACGTTCTTTGAACATGCTAATAGCCTCTGCTATCACTCTAACTGTGATTTGATGGTTGTCAGCATCAGTTGGTGGATTTTAGCGGTGTTTTTGTTAGTGGTTGCACTTTTGGCCACCCTGAACATTCATCGTCATCCAAGCTGGTTTAAATTTAGCTGCCCAATATTTCACAGTGCAGTGCAATGATGGTGCTGAGTCCCCATACACTGTGTCCAACTCCTCTTTAATCTGAGTAGGCATTTTCCCTTTCAAAAACAGGTATCTAATAACAGCATGATACTCAGTTTTTTTTTATTTTTAAAAAAACGGCCACATCAACTCACAAAAGTAATTGTCAAACAAAAAATTTGCATTCAAAATAGCTGAAATTTTGATTGGAAGTTTTCAAGTGATGCCCAAACAAGTCTCCCCCCCCCCACTGTTGATTTGAGTCTACATATTGAGGTCGGAAACTTTACAGACAGCCCTTCGTATTTGTGCCTATTTAAGAACATTTACAATTTTGATACTGTTGCGATAAGAAGAGAGCATAGTAAATAATGTCATTACAAGATGAGAGGCAGAAGTTAAACAGTGCATTTATCCAACATAGAAGCTGAAAAAAAGAAAGTTTTGGTTTAGGTTAGGAAGTTTTGAGTTCAAGTTCTGAATGAGCAATGTTATTAGTATTACCCAAGTGCAACATACATTCGTCTAGAAATTTTGCAGTTTAGAAAAGTTATTATAGTACAAAATCTGAAATCTGGAATAATCTAAAATCCAGATTTCAAAGCCATTAACAACCTTTTCTTTCTTTCTTTCTTTTTTTTTTTTTTTTTAAGAAATTTTTTTTTATATGCTTTACACGTGCACTTTTTTGGGGGGCCCCATAATAAAACATGTGGAGTCCCAATTCTTAATTTCACTTCACTAAATAAAACACCTTGTTACTGAAGAAACATTCATTTTAAGAGGAATTTGTGTGATCAATAATTTGGCTCTGCAGCTGCATACCAGTTTGGCATACATCTCAAACTGAAACATTGAAGAAAACATCAAAGAAACCTTGTTGATTTTACACCTACTGCAATTTTATATCCCTGATGCCAAACTGGCGAATCATTATTTATTTTGCTTTCATCACCGCATGTTTATCAACACATGATTACTTCAGTAACGACTCATGCAGGGATGGCTAAAAAATCTTTTTATATTAGTAACTAAATAACAAAGAGAACGGCAACCTTTTACGTTGATCTTATGCATGACAATGATTACAAACTTATGTTAAATGCACTAAGAAATGTTAATTTTACAAAAATTTCTTTCCATATGCTAAAAATAGGTTTTGTTAATGATACTCATAGGCCAAAAGATTACATTTAGTGCTATTTGAATTAAGAATAACTGATTTGTTATTCACATAAATTAAGAACCGGTGCCACATCTCATATGGCCACACTAGGTGGCAGAATTTAGGAAAGACAAAATTTTTGGAATTTTGAGAAAGACTGAACAACAAAATTAAGGAATGACAAAATTTTAGAATTTGGGCAAAGCACTGGGACACCAAATTTAGGGAAGCAAAAATTTAGAACTTAGGACTCACAGAGACTGCATCAGGTGTTCAGATATCTAGCGCCAGCGCTCGATAAGCCTTAAGTATGTGGGAATTTAATTTATTCAGGACTCAGATAAGCCTTAAGCATGTACAAGAAAAAGACATAAGTATAATAAATAATGAAACTAATACAGTTCAGACTTAATTGTCTCAGTACATGATAGAAGCAAGACAAAATTTAGCAGAACAATTTATCTTTCATTGCCAATCTAATGATACATAGCCAATAATGTACAATGGACGGTATTAAGCAAGGCTACAATTATACTTTACTGATTCCAAGAATTTTCAGTTAATACAGCAGATTGCACTGTTCCTTAACTTTCTGATTTAACCCAGCTTATTATTTTTTTTGAGGCTGTTATTACAGCAATTTTATGAAAATTAAAGTTTGAACTTAATTATGTTGAAAAGTGCTTCTAATTCTGGTGCTGCATCAGGATCTGCAAAGTGAAAGCATGTTTCATTGCCCATTGAACAAAAAGTGGAATTTCTGCAAAAAATGGATAAAAGTCAACTGTATATGACATAAGACCACAGAAAAAAAATTTCTAAATTTTTTGTAGATTATGACACCTCACTCGCAATGAATAACAGAAAAATTAGAGCATAACGAATCATTTTTGATGATCGTGACAAAGTGACGACTGAATGGGTCAGACAGCGTTGCAGCAAGGGTGTGCCACTGACGGGTCCAATGCTAATGGTTCAAGCCAAAATATTTCACGAAGAAATGAACTTAGAAACTGAGCGCACATATTCGATACATTTGTTAACGAAATTTAAAAATCATCATAGCATAAGGCAATTAAAAATTTCAGGTGAAAAAGCTTCATTTGACACAGAAGCTGCTGAACTATTTTCAGATTGAACTCATTAATAGTGAAAAGCTATCTCTAGAACAAATTTACAATGCACATGAAAGTAGTCTTTTCTGGCAATATGTACCGCAAAATACCTTGGCAACCTCTTAGGTTTAGGTTCCGAATCAGCTACGCCATCAGGGTTACACAAGCCATGCGATATAGATTTATCTAGAAATCATGCAGTCTAGAAATGTTATTAATTTTTTTTCAGAATAAAGAGGTAATAACCAAATTAAAAAAGAGGAATTAAAAGGCTATTACTAAATTAAATTATAAAGCTGATTTACATATTTTTTTATCTTACTTGTATAAAACTAATACTAAAAATAAAATTTAGAATATAGATATCTGTTCATAAAAGGGATTTCATTCATAATTCATTTAGAATATATAATTTATGTTCAAAAAAGGTTTAAAAAAGAACTCTCAGAAGCTTTGCCTTTGAAAATAGGATTCAATAAATGCATTTGGCTTTGAAAATAAGATATATATATATACATCTTTTATATGCGAGCAAATAATTTAATATAAAAATTTTTCTCATGCAGGCTCTGCAGAAATCATTTACATAGTATAACAGGGATTGTATTTTATTAAATGAAAAATTCAAGCTTTCCTTTTATTTCTTTTTTAATTATGATCCCAAACATTTTCAAAGCTATACTATACGAATCCATAAAACTTAAACAGAAATGATAACAGGAAACAGTATTTGAGTTAAATATATTTTCCCCTTTTCTGAGTTATATATATTTTCAGCACGAGGTGTCATAAATTGTGTTTTCAATGTAGGTATTGTTTGTATGTATGTGCACTGCGCAAAAAAAAGGGAGGAAGGGGCAGTTCTATATCTTCTGTTTTACTGAGCCAATTGATGAAATTCAAATTGTGTTCTTCATGTCTGGAAAGCACGACTTAAGATATATATTAGTTTTATATATAGCTATATTCTAACATAGATATTTTGACACAAAATTGGACTTTTTCTGAAATAACATATGAATGTTTTTTCTATATTTCGATTCTACGACTCAAATTAATAATAAAATAAAATATGAAATTTGGCAAAATTTGGTGCGAAATTTACGGAGAAATTCACAAATTTATGTTGCCACTTTTTTTTTCAGTTTGCGCCAAGAATAGTTCATTTGGCGAACTTCTTAATATACGGTATTTTCCTTTCTCTTCAGCGGAAAAAAGTCACAATCATTCCTTTTTTCAAATAATGTTCTTTATATTATATTTTTTAATTATAATTGTTATTATTTTAAGTAATTTTTTCTTTTTTGAATTTCACTTTGTTTAATTCGCATGGTTTCTTTCGAATAACTGTTTAAAAAATTTATATTTACCCATTCGAACTTCATAGTTTAATAA